TAAACCAGAGCTAACAGATGTAAATGAATCTGCCCATTTCACTACGTTTACCGTAATATAAGTTTCCCACTCAGGTTGGATTTACGAGGTTCGAAGCTCGGTAGTAGAACATCCAACATAAAATCGAAATGTCAAATTTTTGACTTTGATTGGTGATACACTTTCTTAAACTGCGCGGATTTCCTATTTTCTGCAATTTGGTACTGGAAAGGTTTCAGTTGTCAACACTACTTTTATTTCTGTTTGGGCATATTAGACATCCTTAAAAAGGGACAAGGATTTTAAATGCTTATAAAATAGCTCAATTCTTAGAGAAGTTACCCGACTATCAAGATTATAATTTACGCTAACATTTAGTGCCACAGTGATCATTCTTTGGATTCCCCTACCGCAAGATTAATGAGAATTTTAGCATTCCTAAGTTTTGTACATTTAAAATGCATTCTAAGAGTCAGAGCAATCAAATATAGATGAACAGAGTTACGGCTAAACTTCCACGCTTTCGATTAGTAAGAACTACTTACGTGGGGTTGTTTTACTGATCATCGAACAATGTAATCCCAAACTGTTTCAGATACGCCAGGATGTTGAGTTTCGAATGTGGTTTCTACCAGCTGCCTGTTAAAACCGCACGTAATAAGCAATGGTCGCTTAGTTAATGTGCATTTTTCCATCGATCGCCTGTGTATTCATAAATTCAATTATACTGGAAAGGCGACATGCACAAAATATCCTCGCTTGTACCAATGTAGTAACAAAATACAGATTCTACGAGTATATATTTGAAGAAATTGTATCTTTCGTTTCAAAAGAGCTCGCAATTGTGAAGTGTGAAACCTAGATCTTATCCGTAGCAGTATTGTAAACGTCTCATACTGTATTTTAATGTTTGGGGGGAATATATGAGTTTTGATGCATGGAACCAATATAGCTTGTGGACTTCAAGCCCTAGACGCAAATGCAACGGCAATTCGGGTTCGAAATGTGTTGGTGATAAGAAGCGCTCTTAAAACCAGAAACATTCCTTCCTCGAGTATAAGCTTAAATAATAAGTAATTTGCTATAATATTGGGTACAACAGAAGACATTTTGTGCATGTTACCTTTCAAGTATGTTTGAATTTGTTAGTACACAAGTGATCGATGGCAAGAGGCATCTCACCTAGGTAGTCATTGTTTACTATGTGTGGTTTTTACAGGAAACCGATAGAGACTGCATTCGAGATCCAACGTCCTGCAGTATCTGGAACACTCTGAGATTATACTTTTTCAGGACAATAAAACAATCCCACTTAAACGATCCTTATTAATTGAAAACATAATATCAGAATCTCACTCAGCATTTCATAAGACAAGCCACGGACTGCATTCAGTTGTTTGACCCTGTGTACAACTATACATGAAAAACAGGCGGAAGAATTCTATTTGTAAAAAACGTTAGCTTACCTTTAAGGTTTGAAAGCTCCGCACATTTTCTCGCAGTCTGATTCGCTCAGGAAGTTGTTTTTATTGCCTCCTGAACCTCTGTAGCCAAAGCGTTTGCAGGCCTTATAGGACCAGTCAAACCACCAGCGTATGACTGACCTGCTACCGCTGCCCAAGTCATTGGGCATTTGACAGACAGCCGTAGGTAATAACGAAGATTTTGTTGTAGTTATTGGAGGCTTCGCAGTGCTTGTCGTTGGGTTTGATGACGCTACTATAGAGAGTTTTAAGGCCAAAGTTGAAATCAAATTTGCGAAACACGAAAGCAACACAACATGAGCCGTAAGGAAATTTTGTCCGACGATACCAGTTAGATGCACGACCTTGGCATAGTCTGGATAGCTGAAGTAATCAGACTTCTCAGTTTTCTATCCATCGAACAATAGGCTAAGCACTCAAAACTCGATGGGGTAACGTATGCAGTCTCATTTAGAAGCATACGCTTGACATTAGCATTCTGAACATTCTGTAAAATTAGACGGGCAAACGTATTTTACTGCAATAGTTCTGTCTTTCCAGCACTTTCAGCACCTTATAAATCAACAAGTCTACTTACCACACAGAGACCAAATTCGTATTGAGGACATTGTTGCTTAATAATAGTATAGCCTATGATCATCGCTCGTATCTAGGGGCCCTTGAATTCGTGTGCTAACCTTGCATATTGATATCTTTCATCAAACAGAATTATTAAGAAATTAAGTCCGGGTGCAGTACAAAAGTCTAGCGCTTCGGATAAGAGCTTCAGACAACCTTGTTTATATTTTTGATCCGACCGGCTGACGTTGATAAGTTAACCCGAAATTTTTACCTAAGGCGCTCTTGTTTTTACTGAAAAAGGTTTCTGTACATATGCACTGGAACATCTGCCCGGCAACTAATATAGAGTTATGTGTTGTCAGGAGTGTAGAGGTCATAACCAGTCACGTCTGGCAACTATGTATGTAAATGAAGTAAGGTATTTAATAACGGTTAACTAGAACTCAATGATATCTACACGCTACATATTTAAATCTTAAGGTTTATCTCATGTTGTTCTGAAATTTATGTTAATTTCAAATAAACCAAAATAGCAAAATAGTATGTGCAACCGCAATCTCCGAGGAATAGTCCGTTAGTTTTTTGCTAGAAAGGATTGTACAGCACGGACTTACAAGCATTTGGAGCATCGACTGTTCCAACCAGAAACCAAATGCAGAGGCACACAAAAAGTAGGCCAAGCAAAGCGAAGGTAACGGTGACAACAATGAGTACGCTTCGAGGAACGTGTTTCTGTCGCAGCCGTACAGTTCTGTGTGGTTTGGTACCAGTCTTCAATAATTCAACTTCCACGGTCATGTTGAAGTCTTTAATGTTGCTGCCGCTGCTACCTCGGAAGAAAACTCCGTTTTCTACCAACAGTGCATGGAAGAGCGCAAATTAGCTCTGTCCTTGCCATTACACATGTGACTTTCTTGGGAAAACGACATTAGTCAACCAACCGCAGATGTACTGAGGCTTCAGTGCGCACGTGATCGCACTTTTCCAACCCCACAAATGACGCTTGGACAAAGTTTTACGGAAGAATATTCGCTTATTGTTAAGGAAGTTTGGACGCCGCATTTATTAAGCCCTAACTCTCACTGGAGATTGGCCTTCAGTGCATGGAAATTTTATTCGGTTGTAAGTTGGAATTTAATTCACGGATAAGAAGTTAAACGTCTAAACCAAATTCTGACTGCAGATCTGTCTAGTGGCAGAGTAGCCGGGAAGAGCATATTCACACCAGCCAACATCACAGAAGAGCCAAGGTCTTATTGCATGTTAGCGCTTTGACTTAGATTATTATTTGATAATAATTTTAAAACAAGCGATCTGGATGGCTCACTGCAAGTTCTACATAAAGACTCCTGCATTGACTCAGTTCCCCCGATAAAATTTCACTTACCAATAAGAGCATCTGAGACCATTTGGCTGTGTTGGCTGTTTGGTAAACAGCGACAGCTTGTGTACTTCGAGTTTTATGACCGAAAATATAGAAGAATTTTACCATTCGTTTTACAGTACCCATGGCTAACTACGGTGCACAACGGTTGTCACAAAGGCTTTGTCACTTTAAGCAAACAAAGGAAATAAGTTGACAGCAAAAAGGTCGGGAATATGAAGAATGTACTTGTACGAATCGAGTAGGTTATGACTTGCACTTTTGCCCTTAATTAGAAATTTCAACGATCCCGAAGGAAAAAACATGAACTATTGACGTTCAGTCACTCAAAAAATAACCGAAGCGTTCCCAGCATTCAAATTGGAAAAGGTGATACACAAAATAAAATCGTAGTCTAAGAAATACGAATTTCCCCGCGCTCCTGCGATGTGGTGAGATGAAACATTTTAGAGACATTATAAAATTTTTCGGCATAAGCGTTCTAGCCATCCAAAGCCCAAAATAACGTATGTAGACGGGTTTGGATGAATCCTAGCTTCCTTATATATGAACGGTGGCTGAAGGTTGTTTCCTTATTTAACAACCTGCATTTTATTCTCTTTTATGATAAGAGACACAATGAATTTCATGTAATAACAAGAAACTAAATGAATACATTCAGTTCCTTTATTCCTTGATACGACTTCAAAATTAGCATAAAGTATCAGGCAGTCATTCCTACTTAACAAAATATCACATGATTTTAAAAATCAACATTTTGTATTTTATGTAAATAGATGTCTTTCCTTGTTTGCGCCATACACCTCAAATATGTTTTGCCGGTTTCTGCTGATTTATTACATATCAGTGCAGATAATCAGTCCCACTGTACGCTAATTTTGGCTGCCAAATTCGGGCATGTTTTGAGGAGGATACTGGAGGCTTAGTAGCCACAAATGGCATCGGCGAAAAGGGGGCAGTCCTTGTTTTTGTACAATGTCTACGTTTTGGCAGGGTGATATTTTCGACAAAGACAAGGGAGATTGAAATGACAATTTCTGGCTTTTTAACTGTCGTCAGCCAGTTGAGACGAGTGAGTTCCGTAAAAACAATCGCAACTAACAGGACAACGAGTTCGAGGCTTAGTGATTAGGGACATCAAACTTCCAACCAACAGGTCGCGACTTCGTGTCCCAGGTGTTCCACATTTCGGGGTTGTCTGTGACTGGCTGACGTCGGTTAATAAGCCAGAAGTGGTCATTCATTCTCCCTTGTCTTTGTCGGTAATAACATACGGCCTATATCTTGCACTGTTGTGCGGGTGCCGGTTGGAATCGAGGGTGTTTCACACTTCGGGCTTGGGTATGGCTGGCTGACGACGGCTAATAAGCCAGAAATGGTCATTTCAGTCTCCCTTGTCTTTGTCGGTAATACGATTCTGCATATATATATATATATATATATATGGATGTAGGCGAAAATGCTGACCCCAGGTGTTGAAATTGAAGAAGATGGTAAGGCGAGCTCTGGGGATGATGATTTATTCATCTGACGTTTCACACTCATACTCGAGCGTATCATCGGAGATAGGAAATATTAGAAAATTACACGGTTTAAATAGGTCCCTCTCGCTCTCGCCTGATAGGGCCGTCAACTTCTATCCTCATTGGGCCTCCCCTGGTGCGTAGGTGGTGTTTGGCGGCCTCGTATGGTGCCGGTAGTTCGACGCAGCGGTTGATGGAGTTAGTGTCTGTTTTCCAGGCCTCGATTATTTCTCGCGCCAGTCTGTTTTCCGCTCGGCCGAGCACTTGGGCGCCGTCAAAGTCAAACCGGTGGTCATTTTCCAGACTGTGCATGGCGACGTGTGAGCGCGCATCTTTCCGCTTGACGGCTAAGGTGTGCTCATGTATGCGCGTTTTAAGTCGTTTGTTTGTCATGCCGCAATAGTTGGCCTGACAGTCTAGGCAGTTGACGCGGTAAATGACACCGGACATGTCCTCAGGGGGCAGCCTACCCTTTGGCTGCATGACTAATCGGCGGATGGTGGCTTCCGGTCGGTGTCCAACGCCCACGTTAAGTGGTCTAAGCATACGCTCAGTGGCCTCAGAGACGTTCCTCATGTAGGGCAAGACACGGAGTACCTCAGGTTTTTGGTTCGCCTCACCGTCAGTCTTTGTGTGTCTTTGGAACAGACATTTGTTTACGAAGCTACGTGGGTATCCATTGACAAGGAAGAGGTGCCACAGGGACGCACGCTCTTGTAGCTTCTCGGCCTCTGTGCTGCAGTGCGTGTTGATGCGGCGGAAAAGTGTCCGGACGCAACTGCGTTTATGCGACAGCGGATGGTTGCTGTTGTAGTGGAGTATTTTCTCTGTGTTTGTAGCTTTTCGGAAAACACCGGTCTGGAGGGTTCCATCTTCCTGCCTCGTTACCCGCACGTCGAGGAAAGAGAGCGTTCCGTCCTTTTCTTCCTCCATTGTGAATTGGATTTGTGGGAAGATGGCTTTTAATTCTCCTCTGAAGGCCTCCTTCGCATCTCGGTGTAGGACGACAAAGGTATCGTCCACATAGCGCATCCAGAATTTTGGCTTGTAGGACCAAAATACACGAGTTTCCAGTTCCTGTAGTACCGCCTCAGCCAGGTAGCCGGAGATCGGGGATCCCATCGGGGTTCCCTGGATTTGCTCATAAGTATGGCCGTTAAAAGTGAAATACGTGCATAAGCAGTAGTCCAGTAACTCCATCGCGTGCTTCCTTTTAAACGGTTTTTTTCATCGTCGTACTTTCGTTCCAGTAGCTCACTGATGACTCTCATGGCCAAATCCTTAGGGATGGAGGTGAACAAAGAGACGACGTCAAAGGATACCATGATCTCATCGGGGGCTATTGTCACGCCTCGGACTTTTTCTAGGAAGTGCGTTGAGGAAGCGGCTGTGTGTTCGGATCCTTCCGTCAGCTTCTTTAAGTGCTTGGTAAGCCATTTAGCCAGTCCGTAGGTAGGTGTGCCTTTCAGCGCTACGATGGGTCGTAGGGGGACATTTGGCTTGTGGATTTTTGGCAAACCATAGAAACGCGCTGGAGCGGCATCTTGCGGTCTCATTTGTCTCCAATCGTTTTCAGATATCGCCTTTTGGCTCCTCATCTGATTTAAGCCCTTGTTAATTTTGCCTACCAGTGTTTTTATGGGGTCAGAGTCGACGACTCTGTATGACTGGTTGTCGTCTAGTAGTTCCTGGGCATTTGCGACGTACTCTGATCTGTCCAAGATCACGGTTGCCCGTCCTTTGTCCGCTGGAACAATGACTATTTCTTCGTCCATCTTTAATTCCCTAATAGCCTTTAATTCGGCCGAGGAGATGGTCCGACGTGGCTTGTGGGATATGATGAGCGATGACACTCGCTGGCGAATGGCCCAATGAGGATAGAAGTTGACGGCCCTATCAGGCGAGAGCGAGAGGGACCTATTTAAACCGTGTAATTTTCTAATATTTCCTATCTCCGATGATGCGCTCGAGTATGAGTGTGAAACGTCAGATGAATAAATCATCATCCCCAGAGCTCGCCTTACCATCTTCTTCAATATATATATATATATATATATCAAAAGTGTGTTCGCCTCTCGGGTTGCAGGACCGGCTTATCCCACTGAATCGTGGGGTCCAATGCAGAGCCGTCGCAGACAGACGCGCTACGACCAGGATTATATGCTTGATGGGGTTCTGACAGGTTCAAGGACGACAGGGACGGCCTCTTCAGGTTTATTGACCGTCATCAGTCAGTTTTACACAAGCCTAGATTTATTTCTCAATTAAGCCTCTAACCTGCGATATTAGCTATAGAGTGTCGTTAGGTCCGGCAATCTTAACCATAGAGCCCCGTTTCCGTTGTCCTATGGGTGGCGATCGAGCATGAACATAAACTTACTTTGGTAATAACATTCTGCCTATATCTTGAGCCGCTGTGCGGCTGCCGGTTGGGCTCGAGAGAGAGCCCGTTAGCCACAACGAAACGAGTGAGTTCTGTAAGGACGATCGGTGAGCGCCCCCGACCATGATAAATTACCGATCGAAACCGACAGGAAAACGAGCCCGAAGCTCAGTCGTTGAACTTCTAGCTAACATTTCGCGGGATCGAGTCCCTGATGTTCCACACTTCGGGCTTGGGCATGAGTGGCTGACGGCGGCTAATAAGCCACAATTGGCTATTCCATTCTCCCTTGCCTTTGTCGGTAATGCCAGTCTGCCCATATCATGCGCCGCTGGTTGGACTCGAGAGAGCCCTAAGGCACAGCGGGACGAGTGAGTTCCGTAACAACGATCGTGAGCGTCCACTACCACAGTTTACATTTTGGTTGACCTCATGTGACATGTTCTTATCTTATTAGATGCAAACTCTTTAACATTTTCTAAGTCGTTTCCAATTTCTTTAAAAAAGTCTCCTTTTATAAAAGAAACCAATGGCATAATCATGATTGCACTGTCCTGCTTTTGCACCAAAGCAGGTAAATGTTGATGACTTAAAACACAACAACATTCTAGATGTTCAAAAAAATACTCAAAACACTTAATCATTTGAAAAGTTACGAAACATCCTACGGATCAATTCAGAAGACCATTAACGAGCATACGCGTGCTTTCAGTAAATTGTCATCGGCCCAGTACACTTCTATGGGAACAAGGTACAAAGCAGAACGTATGGGAGACACGAGAAATTGATTGCGGTTCGCTTTTCATACAAGCGGAGTGTGTAAATAGGGAGGAGGAGACAGTAACTGGCAGTGAATATTAGGTAGAGCCGTGCCAGAGGGGGAGGGGGAACGGGGACACGGAGACATGTATACAGTAAATTGATTTTTGACCACGGTAGACGCGCAACGTGAAAGAGTTTCTTCTACGCTCACAAAACCAGCTTCCGTAGCTTGATGGCAATTGCTTCTACTGTTGAGGCTAACCAGTGACCTAGACAGGCTAGGTGGGACCCAGTAAATCACAGGGCAGGCTTCATTGGGGTCCACATGATGCCCAAAGTCAATCATCTGTGCGAGGAAAGGGCTATGTATCCTCTTGATTTCACCTTTCCTCAGACACGCTTGTAGGTGTTCTCATATTCTTGTGGATAGGCGCCAACTCGTACGACTAATATAATCTGCTCAACAGGAGCAAGTAAAGAAGTAAATGCATATAGAGGTGGCCTGAGTTGGTGGGCCATCCTTATCTTATCCAAGTAAGACGGTGTTGGTCGAGAACAATACCTGAACTCTTGCTGCCGGAAAGGTCAGTGAAACAGCTTGGCCAAGTCGTCTTCTTAGGAGTTTACTCGCCGCGTCCCCTTGAAAGGGGAGTTTGAGGAACAGCCGTCGGTGTGATGAGTTTTGCCAATCCTCAGGTAAGACTCCTTAAAATAAATTTGTCAGGATACACATTCTCACGAAGTAGGTCCTAGATTCTTCTAAGATCTACATCAATGCTCTCTGCGAACAGAATTTTCAATATTTCTGCGCCAAACAACGGACTAGTCTACGTTTTTGTTGAAGGGGTACGAAACTGGATAAGTTCGTATATTGCTCATACCAGCTGCCTTTTAGACAGACGCTTCTTTGAATGCTACCGTCAGCTACTCTGTTCAAAACGACTTCTGGGAAAGGCAGGAAGCCTGTCGTTTTCACCCCCAACGTAAACCTGACCGACAAGTATACTTGATTTACAGCATTCAGGATGGTGGTTATGTTGGTTTCTCTGATGGCCGTTGCAAAGATGTCGTCAACGTAGCGACCAAAGTGCTTAACTTATTGAACCTGGAACTTTTCCAGTTAATCCATAAAGACATCGGCTTGGAGACAACCAAGAGACGATCCCACAGAAACTCCGACTATTTTTCAATATATCTGGAAAGCTCCCAATCTAACTAAGTACTTACCAAAGAAAGTGATCCAGTTTAAACTTAAAATATTCAACTAACTTTTATTCTGGACTCATGCAACTTCAAAACTGTCGCATATTTTCCATTTTAAATCCTGAGATTTTTCCTAACAGTCAAAATATGAATGCATTTAATTGCCTCTCAACTCACTCAAGGAAATCGTTCCATTCCCTTTTTAAAATAAATTTCAAGAGAGCATCTTTTCAGCCTAAAATCACCTAAGTAGCAAACGTGCTATCTAAGGGTGTTTAAATAATTACAAAAGTTACAGCTGGTACATCGCCAACGGAGCGTTTAAAGATACACACAGGAAAGTCGGAATAAATGTGAGAATTCACGTCCTGCCTTGTGCTTTCAAGCAACAAAATTCAAGCTATTGGTAGTAACATAGCGCATTCTGACTGTCGTTTTGCATCAACTGACAGTATCTTTAACCGCATACGCATTACAAAGCGCCGTGCACAGATTAAATATTGATTTGTATTGTAGAAGTAAAGTGTAGATACGCAGGGCATTCTCATCGCCGAAAGACGAAAGGCAAAGCTTTGCTTCGTTAGAATATGTTAAGACAAAGACGTTCATTTATGCGGAGATCAAGAGCGTATAGTTAAAACTCATATCGAACTAGCCTAAGTTGCCTAAGGCTGGTCGGCGATTATTTATCAAAAGCTGGAGGCTGCTGGTCAAAAAATTTATTTGGACATGTCATGAATATTTATGATTTATGGTGTTTCCAAGGTCATATACATGTTGAAAGACTAGGAAAAATGTGAACGCAGAATTTGTAGGAGTATAAGCGAAAATTCCAAATTTTGCTTTCTTCGTTCCTAACAGTTGCGAATAATAAGGAAACTTAAGAACTTGTGTCATTCAGTTGGGAAATATTTTCCGAAAGTCTTGCTTACTATGTGTTTTTTGGTGGGCACGGCCCTTTATGGCAGACCGTTTTCGAAGTTGGAAGTTTGTTCGATTATCTGCCTGACGCATGTCCCCGCCGACTGTAAGTCCCGGAACGCAATTTCAAGTATTTGAGAGGAAATTTACTTTACAAGGATGTCTTGTATGTGAATGCCACAATTTCTTGAAGCGGACAGATTTCCCGCTTGTAAATTGTTCTCCCTATTCAAACGACCCTAAGTGCGCATGTGTGACTGTAAGTCGGTATTACAGATGCTAAATTATACGTGCAAGGATAATACACAGACGAAAAATACACAAAAAACGTGTGCTAGCCAAATTTATTTCCGGTGTTCTGTTGGAGTTATTCGCAGGTAACAGGATTTCTTGGCTTCAGATACCTTTTGACGCTTCCTCATCTGCTATGTAATCTGCATAATGTAATTCGCAGACCAAAGAAGCGCAAAAAATTAGACTTATTTCACAAATTAATATGGAACAGGGTACGCATAAGCACACCCGGTTCGGGTGATGGGCACAAAAAAGGGAATGAAGGAGACAGGAATAAAAAACATATGTATTTGTTTCTGGTGGAGGACAGGAAAAGAATTTACTCAAAAGATTCTGAGGTTCAGTGGTGAATTCCCATAGGCGATAGGTTTTAGATTAGTGCCTTGAATATCAGTGGACTCTTAGCAACGTGGTCACATAAGTGATGCCATACCCGCCTTGTAGAAGGGTTGCCTTTGTGTCAGTAGAGAATGTGGTCTTCTTTAACCGAACCTCACTAAATAATACACATCCCTGTGAGACAAACATGAGGGAGTTTTAATTAAGATTACGCGGCGGC